TAGAAGAAGTTTCACAAACTAATTGAAAAATTGAAAAGTTGAGTAAGGAAACGAGTAATTTTTCTTGCGTCGTACGGATATCAGAGAAATAATTTTCCAAAAAAAAATATGTAAACGAGGCAGAGTTTACTGTAAATGACGTCAAGTCATAAAAAACGGAAAATCGATTCAAATGATAAGCATTGAACAAAAAGAAAAAAAAAAAAAAAAACGATAATTAGGTAATAAATTAACCAAAATAAAGTCAACTATCAATCGAGCAAAAATAGAAAAGTATACGATGTAGCGCAAAAATTAAAAAGTATAATTATTTGGTCATAAAAAAGAATAATGTCGAGTGATAAATGGAACAGTTAACAATAAAAAATAGCATGATACACGATACGAAATGCTTACTAAAGTAACAAATACTCACTAAAATAGCAAAAATATACCATGCTAAGCAGAAATTAAAAAGTATAATTTTTTCTTTAAAGAGCGACGATACTGAAATGACAAATGAAGTGATTACAAACAGCTATTTCTAACAGCGACAGAAAGCCAATTTCTTTCCCTGTGATAAGTTCCCTTTCTTGCTGAAACAAGAACGTAACTGATTAAGATCAGGAATACCTCTGCAAGAATTGAATTTTCCTTCTGCAAGAAGAACATACTCTGATCTGCGTCATTTATAGCCAGCTGGAAGTTTGCGCCGATGGGATAACATAATGAATCAGCCTCGATCGACGGGATCCACTTACATTAAGAAGGATTTATGTACACGAAGGTGCGACACACTATTTCCTATAATAACGCAACTGGCTAACGCACTTGGTTAATTACAGAACATGATTGTAAGATCGAAACGCGCGTAAAAGGCGCGTTTTATCACTGTCTACGCGACGTGTTTACGCGAAACGTGCCGCTAACTTCGTTCGTTTTTTGCGCTGCCAGATGAAAATGCAAGACGCTGCCCGCTTGCTTGGAAAAACAGACGTTCTTTTTCTATTTTCTTTTTTCTTTTTTTTTTTCTTTTTTTTTTTTTTTTTTTTCTAAATCAAAAATTAAATTGACGTGAAATTATAGAAAAGTCAAATCGCTTCTTT